GATTTCTGAAGAAGGGTCCAGACCCGAAGCGTCAGCTTTCCTGCTCCTCTGATGCTGCTTGGCCTGCTGTGGTCATCCAGCTCTACACCTTATTATCTCAGATTCTCCAGCATCGGCAGTTCCTACTATCTCTAATTTATCCTCATCTCTGCCTTGAATGTGCTACCTCTTATTCTAAAACCAAGACCTTTCAATCTAAATTGCCCCACATGAGATAACATCCCCTCTATCATTTTATATACCTCAATTGGATCCCCTCTCATTCTTCTAAACTCCAGGGAATATAAGCTTAAACTGCTCAATCCCTCTTCATAAGACAAATCCCACAACTCTGTAATCAATCAAGTGAACCTCCTTTGAACTGCCTCCAATGCAACTATATCCCTCCCGAAGTAAGGGGACCAAAATTGTATGAGTATTTCAGGTGCAGTCTCGCTAACACCTTGTACAGTTATCACAACATTTCCTTGTGCTTATACTCTGTTCCTTTAGAAATAAATGCCAAAATTACATTTGCCTTCCCTATTACCTGCTGTACCTGTGTACTGTTTTCTGACAAGAAGCAGCTGGTCCCACTTTTAAAAGAAAAATGAACGAGAGGTATAAAGTGCAAATGAAGCAAGGTTGATGTGAGAACAAACTTTCTATTCAATGATGCAGGAGAACCATGCATTACTTTGACCACAAAATCCTACATAAATAATACATCAAATTTAGATTTCTCTTAACCCATTAGCTCAGATATTTGTTGAAACATTGTATTTTATGAAACTGATGCTTCGTTACTTCCAAACCATGCTGATTAAGTCACTATGTTCCCAGTGGGCCAGCATTTTAAAAGACTTAAGTGAGATATTGTAGCAAACAAATGTAGTTTGTTGAAAACCTCCTGGACTTCAGAAGCACAGGTTATTTCAGGTCTGAATGTAATTGAGAGTTGGTGTTTGAGGTTATGTCTCAGATACCAGATAATCTGCCACAATATACAGTAACATACAGGCAACGTAGTTTCCATTGCATCTGAATTTGAAACCATAATCGACTTGTGATATGAAAGAATTGTTAAGTGCATCCAAACGTTACCATTCTGCCACATTCCAGTGCAGGAGGTTTGTAATTTTACAATTGGAAACTGTGTAAATGATGAGCCAGCAACTCAAGTATCACTAACTATTTCAATAGCAGAATGAGCAACTACAAGCAATTGGAAATGCTAGTCTCCACACATCTTTTTTCCGCCTAATTTGACGAAGTTTGAATGGGGAGTATGAAATCACTCAGGCAGCCTTGGGAAATACCCATCTTGATTTAGCTGAGCAGCCATTTCCTCCTGTATCACACCTTCCTTCCTCTGTCTCCCTTGGCCCTCACTTATCACTATATCATATATAGTGTTATAACATATCACTCCTGTTGCTTATTTCCCTACATTTATTTCCTTTTACTCTGTCTGTGTTATCCAGTTTTGTGTTTCAAACTGGATCCCTTTATTGGCCTGGTGGCTCAGTGGTTAGCTCTACTGTTCATAGCACGAGGGACCCAGATTTGATTCCATGCCTGAGTGACTGTCTGTGAGGAGTTTGCACATTTTCGCTGTGTCTGGATGGGTTTCCTCTGGGTGCACTAGTTTCCTCCCAAAACTGGGGGCCACATTTTTGAGGAAAAAGATTTACAAAACACATGAAGAGCAAATTTTTACACAGAGTGGTTCGTGTGTGGAATGAACTTCCTGAGGAAGTGGTGAATGTGGGTACAATTACAATGTTTAAAAGGCATTTGGATAAGTACGTGAATAGGAAAGGTTTGGAAGGATATGGGCCAGGAGCAGGCAGGTGGGACTAGTTTATGTTTGGTATGGACTAGTTGGACTGAAACATCTGTTTCCGTGTTGTATGACTCTATTACACCGAGCAAAAATACGCAGGTTGGGTGGATTAGCCATGGGCAATATAGGGATAGGGTAGGGGGTTGGTTCTGGGTGGGATGCTCTTCAGAGGGGCAATGTGTACGCGATGGACCAAATAGCCTGTAGGGCTCTATCATTCTAATTCAGAAAATGTCTACATTGACAATAAATATTTCCCATGCTGTAACCATGGGTCAAACTCAGCGGATGTGGGTTATTGTAAACGTGAGACTGCATGTAGCTAATTTCCGGAAGAGTTCAGAGGGCATGAATCTTACCTGCCAGCGGTGGCCCCAGAAGTACTGGACAACACTCTACAACAGTGACGAGTCCTACTGCACTTGAGAACCTTTTGGCACCAACTAGGTCCATCAGCGTTTCGAAGAGAACAGCACTCACCATTCCAAAGGCAAAGCCAAAGAAGATGGTATAGACAACTAGGCCTGTAAAGTCATTTGTCAATGAGCACATGACATGGCAGAAACCATTGTAGAAGACAGCAAAGCTGAAGAAATATTGGATCTTTGGCCTCACCCATTTGGAGTTTGCAACCAGGCCCATGCTGGGTCTTGCACACATATCTACAAAAGCAAAAATGGAAAGCAGGAATGCTGCAGAATACTCGTCTATGCCCATGTGCTTGGCATAAGAAGCCAAGAAAACAATTGGAGCAAAGAATCCAAAAAACATGATGACATTTCCAAACAAGTAGATCAGAAATCCCCGATGTTTGAAGAGGGCGAGATCTAGATAATTATTAATTACGGCAAAAAAACTTAATTTCTTCTTCTTTTTCTGCGACAGACCATCCCCCAAATCCTTGCCATCTTCTTTCTTTAGAGTGGAAAACTGTGCATCTTTTATATCGGTGGTTTTTTTGGGTTGTAGTGGCCTCATCAAGGATCCTGCCACACAGCAGTTCAACAGGATTGCTCCTAGGATGAAGAAACTGCCTCGCCATCCAAAGACATTAACTAAGTACTGATTCAGAGGTGCCAAGGTGCTCAGAAACACTGGGCTACCAGCCATTGCCAGACCATTGGCAATGGGGCGCTTCTTGTAAAAGTACTTTCCAATCATAGTTAAAGCTGGTTGAAGGTTGAATGCCAATCCTAGGCCTGAAAAGAAATCAAGGAGATCATTATATTTGTGAACATGTATATATGAAATAAAGAGTCATAAGATACTTATGGAGTAAGCAAATAAATAATGGGTTGGTATCAATGTTCAGAGGGATGAAGGAGTTATAAAGCACAGAACATCAGGACTTTTTTTATTCATTCACAGCTAGATCAGTTTTCATTGTCCATCCCCATTTGCTCAAAGGGCAGTTAGGAGTCAACCACATTGCTGTGGGACTGGAGTCACATGTAGGCCAGACCAGGTAAAGATGTCTCCTTCCCCTAAAGGACATTAGGGAACCAAATGGGATAACAAGATGTAGAGCTGGATGAACACAGCAGGCCAAGCAGCATCAGAGGAGCAGGAAGGCTGACGTTTCGGGCCTAGACCCTTCTTCCAGCATTCTCCAGCATCTGCAGTTCCTACTATCCAGGGAACCAAATGGGTTTTTTTTTCCAACAATTGACAATGGATTGACGGTCATCATTAGACTCTTAATACAGTTTTTTTTTTAAAAAATTGAATTCAAATTCCACCACCTGCCACGGCGGACTTCAAACCCAGGTCCTCAGAACATTACCTGGGTCTCTAGATGAACAGTCCAGTGACAATACCACTAGGCTATGACCTCCCCACTAAATTATTGTGCTTTCTCCATAAAACATCGCATTAGACATTTGCTCCACATATCAGTTTATCTGTGATATTTTATTTCACAATGGGATTTGCTTTTGTAACTAACAACTAATGACATTTTGTACAGTTATGAAGCTTTTCCAGTGCTGAATATCTTCAGGCAACATTATAATCCTTTCTGAAGAGGAGCTCTTACAGTTCTAAAGAAGATTCATAACAGACTTGAAACGTTAACTCTGTTTGCTCTCCACAGATGCTGCCAGACCTACCAAGTTTCTCCAGTGCTTTCTGTTTCATTTCAGATTTCCAGAATCCATAATATTTTGCTTTTATTATAATCATCTCATTGTATACCATCAGAATTCACTAGAATGGAAACAATGATGCTGTCTTGCAGTCGACAGTTTTGGAAGAAGTATCAATGGGACTTAGAATTTCTGCGGCTGGCATTTCTCGAATGCATCAAGGAGATAGATGTGAGGTTTGCAGAAATGAAATATCTTCTTTATTTCCCTGAGCTTGATATCAGCATCACATGCAGGTCAGGCACAGCTACAGATGGGCAGCCTAAACATTTGTGCTTTCATTTCCAACCTCAGCACAGTAGTACCTACATTACACTGATATAAATTTTCCTCCTGCACTGGCTATCAGTCTGAATGACACTATGACATCTCTATTGAGTGAAAACAGACTTCCCTTGCGGGGTGGCTCAGTGGTTAGCACTGCTGCTTCACAGCACCAGGGACTTGGGTTTGATCCCACCCTTGGGTGACTGGCTGTGTGGGTTTCCTCCGGGTGCTCCAGTTTCCTTCCACAGTCCAAAGATGTGCAGGTTAGGTGGATTGCCCATGCTAAATTGCCCAGAGTATCCAGGGCTGTGTAAGCTAGGTTGAGCAGCCACAGAAAATGCAGGATTTCAGGGAACAAGGTTGGGGGATGGGTCTGAGTGGGACGCTCTTCAGAGGGGTTGGTGTGGACTTGATGGGCCAAATGGCCTGCCCCTGCACTGTAGGAATTCTGTGATTGCAATATTTCTTGGTGGTGAACGCTGGACACCAAGAGATATGGGGATAGGACAGGAGAGCAGATAGAAACAATATGTAGGGAGTCCAAACAGGGAAGGGGCTATGCTAGATGTTGTAGTGGGGAATGAGCCTGGCCAGGTGATTAAAGTTTGATCAACATTTTGGGAACAGTGATCATAATTCTCTAAGTTTTAAGATAGTTATGGATAAAGCAGAAGTGATAAGGGAAGGTTAATTATGACAGTGTTAGGCAGGATCCGATGAAATTAGATTTGGGCTGCTGTTTGAGGGTAAATTCACACTTGACCTGTGGGAGTCTTTTAACAGTGAGTTGGTCAGAGCTTAGGACCAGCATGTTCCTGTCAGGATGAAAGATAAGGATGGCAAGATTTGGGAACCCTAGATGACAAGAGATATTGAAAGTTCAGTCAAAAAATAAAAGGAAGCATATGTAAGGTTTAAGAAATTGAAATTGGGCAAACCCTTGAAGAATATACAGTAAGCAGGAAAGAACTTAATCAAGGAATCAGGAGAGCTAAATGGGGTCACGAGATGTCCTTGGCAAATAAAATTAAGGAGAACCCAAAGGCATTTTATACATATATTAGGAACAAGAGGGTAACTAGGGAAAGGATAGGTCCGCTTAAGCATAAGGGAGGAATTTATGTGTGAAGCCAGAGGAAGTGGTTGAGGTCCTTAATAATTTCTTCGCATTGGTATTCACTAAGGAGAAGGAAATAGGGTGTGTTGATATTCTCGAGCTTGTCGATATTAAGAAGGAGGAGATGCTGCGTATCTTGAAAAACATTAAGGTAGATAAGTCTCCAGGTCCTGATGGGATCTATCCCAGGAGATTGAAGGGAACAAGGGAGGAGATTTTTGGGGCCTTAACTGTGATCATTGTACAGGGGATTCTGCTATAACGTGTGTCCCAGCAACACGAATTGGCTATAACGTGATCGATGAATAAGGGAAAGCTATTTCTAAAACACGAACTTGTGTTGGCGATAATGCGATTCCATTGAGTAGGCATCTTGCTGTCAGGAGCCCTTTGCTAATGATACATACAGCGTACTTGTACAATGCTGTGAATCTAAGAGTCCCAGAGAAATTCTCCCTGTCAGTCTTCATTAAAACTGAAAAGTAAGAAGCCAGCATGTCTATTATCAGGAAAAGCAGGGTTGCAGGGAAGAGTGAAAAACAGTATATCTAACTTACCTTGAAAGGAAACACTGTGAGGGACAGGACCTGGGCACAACAGGGGGCTCCAGCAGCCTATTTAAGTAATTAGTCAGATCATGGTTGACTTATGATTTTCCCACCTTTGCTCCCTATCCCTTGATACCCTTGGGGTGTGGTGATAAGATTGCTGAAGGAGTCTGAGTTGCTATGGCAACATACACACGTGTATATGTCACAGGCTGAAACTGTGGATAGTGGTGGTAGAGTCTGCAATGTTCTTTTAGTCACATGGCCGACCAGGAATCTGTCCCAATCTTATACTCTGCTACTGGCAGTGCTGGAAGAATTTACCAATTGATATTCCATCTTTTTACTCACTTTTCCTGGCCATTGAGTTCTGAGACAGGACTTGAACCTAGATCTTCTTGCTTACAAAGGCTTACACCTTTCACAACCTCAGGATGTTACACAGAGCTTGACAGTCACTGTATTATTTTTGAAGTGCAGTCATTGTAGAAAATGCAGCAGCTAATTTTCACACAACACTCTCCCACAAGCAACAATATGATAATGACCAGACAGTCTGTCATTGTGTTGCTGACTAAGGGATAAATTTTGACCAGGACACCTGGGTAACTGCCCTGCACTTTTTGGAAATACTGAGGACAGTTGTGTCAATCCGAGAAGGAGCTGTGAAGCCGCTGTCACAGACAGACCAACCTGTCTGAACAGCTACTGACAATAGTACTATCCTTTGTGTTACACTTTATAGTGGTCTGCCCCGAAACCTGCTTTTCCCATAGGCCCAGTTATTCATATAGAGCGATTTTCTATAACACAGCTATCACATGAGAGCAGAACCCCCTGTATCTTCTTTAGCCACAGGCAAGATGCCAGACTACTGGAGAATAGCCAATGTTGTTCCATTGTTTGAGGACGGCAACAGGATAATCCAGAAAATGAAAGACCAGTGAGCCTTATATTGGTGGTAGGTAAAGTATGGAGAAGATTCTTAGGGATAGAATTTAATCTCATTTGGAAAATAATGGATTTATTAGGGATAGTCAGCATTGCTTTATGCAGGGGAGCTCAAGCCTCACGAATTTAATTGAGTTTTTTGAGGAAGTGACAAAGATGATTGATGTGGGTAGGGCTGTGGATATTGTCTACATGGACTTTACTTACACATTTGACAAGGTCCCTTGTGGTAGACTGGTGCAAAAGATTAAGTCACATGGAATTTACACTAAGTTCATAAATTGAATGCAAAATTGGCTTGGTCATAGAGTAGTTGTGTGGAGGGGTGTTTTCCTGATTGGAGAACTGTGTCCAGTGCTGTTCTACAAGGATCAATGCTGGGACCTCAGTTGTTGCAGTGTGTGTGTGTGTGTGTGTGCGCGTGTGCGTGTGTGTGTGTGTGCGTGTGTGTGTGTGTGTTGTCAAAGAATATTGATCAGTTGGAAATTTGGATGGAAAAATGGCAGATTAAGTTTGACCCAAACAAGTGAGAGTAATGTATTTTGGGAGGTCAAATGCAAGAGGAAATTATATAGTAAATGGCAGGACCCTAAGGAGCAACGATACCCAGAGAGATCTTGGGGTCCAAGTCCATTGCTTCCTGAAAATGTCAACACAAGTGGATAAGGTGGTAAAGAAGGCCTATGGCATTGTGCCTTCATTGGTCAAGGCATTGAGTATAAAAGTTGGCAAGTCATAAAACATCAGTTAGGCTACATTTGGAGTATTGTGTGCAGTACTGATCACTACACCATAGGAAGGATGTAGAGTCTTTGGAGAAGGTGTAAAACAGGATTATCAGGATAGTAGGATCTGCAGATGCTGGAGAATCCGAGACAACAAGGTGCAGGGCTGGATGAACCCAGCAGGTCAAGCAGCATCAGAGGAGCAGGAAAGCTGACGTTTCGGGTTGAGACCCCTCTTCAGAAATGGGGGAGGGGAAGGGGATTCTGAAATAAATAGGGAGAGAGGGGGAGGCGGATAGAAGATGGATAAAGGAGAAGATAGGTGGAGAGGAGACAGGCAGGTCAAAGAGGCGGGGATGGAGCCAGTAAAGGTGAATGTAGGTGGGGAGTTAGGGAGGGGATAGGTCGGTCCAGGGAGGACGGACAGGTCAAGGAGGCGGGATGAGG